ATCATGATGGGTAAAATGGAAATGAAAGCCAACGAGTATAAAAAACAAGCCATACAAATGAACCTTGGTGGTAAATATAAAGAATCATTACAGAAGGTATCCATGGCGATAGAAACTAACCCTACTGTGCCAGAATACCATGTATTGAGGTAAGGTGCATATAGTAAATATTTTCACTGAGTGTAACACACTGCTGGTAAAAAATAAAAAGCATGAGGATTTTTCTGGGACATAAAATTCTAACATAAAATGTTGCTTTCTAATAAAAGCCATAGGATATTAATATGCCATGCATAAATTCACTTCATGTGCAAATGTGTCATGGAAGTTTGTTGCTATGGCTCAAATAAAATTTGCATATTGAAATTATGACATAATGATCAACTTATGAATTTTAATGATCAAATTATAAACTTGATATAGCTCAAACCAATGACCAACATCAATTTCCAGATAGTTCAAGGGTTATTGTGGATCTCATCACTTGTTGTATAAGAACTCAGTTTCTGGTGGTTTCTTAATTGTGTTAGAACTCTAGTGTTTCCATATATATCTTAAAAGTCCTATGACAGTTTATGAGAATTGAGACAGTGTTGGTGGATCCTATAGTAATGGCCATAATAAAGACACAATTTTGAATCCAAAACAGATAGTAAAGTATATGTATATAAAGTCCTACAATAGTAAATTTAATTTAACTTCTTTGGGCTGCTTCACTGTAGGTAGTTGTCTCAACTAAGAGTCATGTCAGTGAAAATAAAACCTAAGCTGTAAACATTATTGAAATTATATAAAATGTTTATTTAGTGGAGAAATATTGCAATACTGAGTATTAAAAGCAACTGAAAAATCATCCTTTTTTATTCAGATATTTTTTATTCCTCATCATGCTTTATTTATGAGTGAATTTTCTTGATTGGAAGTTGTACATAGATGTATTTAAACACTGACTCTTGATGTAAAAATTGTCCATTGCAATTGGTTATAGTACTCATGTATGCCACTCTGACACCGTGTTTAATTATACTTCTTAGAGGAGCACTTCACAGACGACTCCAGGACTTCAATTCTGCTATCGATGACTATCTACTGGCGTTGGATAAAACTGACCACGATGAGGAACATCCCACGTACCAGGACGCACAGCGACAGTTATTATTAACTTACAACGACTTCGCTGTTGAGTGCTTCTCTAAAGAGTTTTACGATGAGGCTATTATACTCCTGAACAAAGCGATCAAGGGCGAGAAAAGAGAAAAAGGGTTGTACATCAACAGAGGAGGTAGGTAAACATGTATTGGGTAGATGATAAATAGTAAGGTGTTCGGTGATTGGCTAATTCGTTAGATAATAAATAGTAAGGTGTTCATTGATTGGCTAATTGGTTAGATGATAAATAGTAAGGTGTTCATTGATTGGCTAATTAGTTAGATAATAAATAGTAAGGTGTTCATTGATTGGCTAATTGGTTAGGTGTTAGTTTGCCAATCATAGGCAATCTTGTTTATAAATAGGAGTTCTTTTTTTTCTTTCACAGATTGTTTCTTTCGCCAGAATGCGTTACAGTTTGCGTTAGCTGATTACCATCAAGCCTTGGAATTGGATTCCTCTGATTCCTGGATCCGAGCTAGGATTGCTAACATCCACAATGAATTTGGACTGCAAGATTACGAGGAACGCAGCTTTCAGGAAGCAGAGGCAAGGTTTACCGTCGCTATTCAGCACAACCCACGAATTGCTCAGTACTATGTTTCCAGATCCAAAGCCAGGTTTATGATGGAGGTAAGCAATACACCATCCCTGTAAGTCATACTTGCTAATGCTGATGCACTTCTGTGGTGTAAAGCGATGTAAGGAACGCTGTACTCAGCATGGATATATATTTCGTC